GGGTTTCACCATGTTGACCAGGATGGTCTCGATCTCTTGACCTCGTGATCCACCCGCCTCGGCCTCCCAAAGTGCTGGGATTACAGGCTTGAGCCACCGCGCCTGGCCCATTGATGAGTTTTTTTATACTAAGCTTTCAAAATCCAGTATGTATTTTACATTTGCTGCACATTTAACACCTACAACCACATTTCAAGTGTTCCAAAGCCACAGGTGGCTCGAGGTGACTGTACTGGCTAGCACAGCTCTGGCGGGCCACCACCACTAGCTTCTCTGGAGGGAGTGTGGGGAGAAGAGACAGATCTTGGCCAACAGGAACCATTATCACTGGTTAACCTCTTGCTCCCGCTGGAAAAAAAAAAAAAAAAATCACTTCTGACAGATGGCAGCTTATCTCTCTCTCACTCTATTAACTCTCTCTCCTAAAAAAAGACAAACAAGCAGAATGATCTCTAACCAAGATGGGGTTCCTGGGAAGAGGCTTGTAGCCCACTACCTAATTTACTTCTTTTTTTTTTTTTTGAGACGGAGTTTCGCTCTTGTTACCCAGGCTGGAGTGCAATGGCGCGATCTCGGCTCACCGCAACCTCCGCCTCCTGGGTTCAGGCAATTCTCCTGCCTCAGCCTCCTGAGTAGCTGGGATTACAGGCACGCGCCACCATGCCCAGCTAATTTTTGGTACTTTTAGTAGAGACGGGGTTTCACCTTGTTGACCAGGATGGTCTCGATCTCTTGACCTCGTGATCCACCCGCCTCGGCCTCCCAAAGTGCTGGGATTACAGGCTTGAGCCACCGCGCCCGGCCCCTAATTTACTTCTTGTGGTTTTCCCTGGCTTGGGAACTGCTAACACTTTCACTTCTTTTCCTCAGTCTTTGCTGGAAAGGACAGAGGCAGACCAATGACAACCCCACCACGGCCGGGGAGGAATGCTGAGCTTGTTTCTAGTGCTATTTTCTTGCTCCTTGGGGCAGTTATTCACAAATGTGAAAAAACAACCTCCCTCTTCTCCTGCATCTCCGAAGGCCTCTGCTGAGCACGATCTTTGCGGGGGTGGGAGCTCGGCATGTGTGTATTGACAGACAGGCTCACGCCCTTTCTCGTGGCTATTTTCAGCTCTCTGGCTTTATGTTTCACTTTCTCTTCTTAATTAGATACTAGAAGAACAAATCTTGAAGATCAAATTCCCTTTCTCCTCCCGTATTCAGTTGGGAGTGGAAGAAAATAATTTAGAATTTGTGAGGAGCCCAGGGTGAAGAGAAAGTTAATCTACACAAAAAAGTCAGTCCAAGAGGGGAAATTCTGGCAGAATGTCCCCCAGGTCCTCTCCAGCATCTTCAGCGGGAGAGAACGTTCCTTCCTTTGCAGAACTCAGCCCACTCTCTGTTCTGGGGTGCTTCCACGCTGTTTGAAGAATCCACGGCTCCAATGTCGAATGTCTACAGGACAGAGGGACGGGTTGACTTCTGGGCCAGTGGAAAGAGAAGAAGCCTGGGTTCTCTTTCCCCAGTACTAGGCTTCCTCTAGCTTCTGTCCAGGTGAGGGTGTCTGGAACTAGATTCTGGGAGACCTTTTTTTCCTGTTTTACTATAGAGCTAAGAAAAAGAACTGAGGTTGGGTGGGGTCAAGAAGGGCTCATTCCACACACAATTAAGTCCATGAATCAGTCCTCCAATCCGGAAAAGGCGATCCTTTAAGGACCCTCCCTTTCCCCCAGCTCCCCGAGCCCCTCGCCCCCGCTTCGCTAAAGGGGCCGGGCTTGGGGGAAGGGCGGGGCCTGGGGCGGGGCCTCGCCAGCCCGCGGCCCGTCGCCTTGACGACCGCAGCAAGATGGCGACGTCCCCGGACGCGCAGCCGCTGCCCGACCCCTGGGTGCTTAGCCCCGCTCAGCTGGAGCAGCTGAGAAAATTCAAGGTGGGTGCGCCAGCGCCCTCACCCGGCGTCCACCAAAGTGCAGCTTCCCCAGGACGGGGGCCCCAGACTGAGAAGAGGGCCGCCGAGAGAAGGGGGAGAAGGGGAGCGGGAGCTTGTTATAAAGTGGGGAGGGCACAGGGGAGACCTCGGGCGGACCTCTGGGCTTCTGGGCCCAGCGCTGAGCCCGATGGGCATCTGGAGTGCAGGAAGAACGACCTCAGGGACTTGGCCTTTGAAATGCGCCGAAATTACCGCCAGACACAGCCGACCATAGTTAAGACCCCTCAGCCTGAACATCAGGCGGCAGAATGATGTTTTATCTATAAGAAGATGGGTGGCTTAAACTTTCAAGCATCCTGGGGAAAGACCTGGGTTAAATGCGCACCTGTTTCCCGCAGCCCTGTCACATCTCCAGGGCTGAACCCTGAATCTGTCCCCTCATGGAGGTGACCCTTTGCTCTTGCCCCCCAGATCCAGATTCGGATTGTTAACGAAAAGTATCTAAGGACCCACAAAGAAGTAGAGTGGCTCATAAGTGGTTTCTTCAGGTAGGTGGTTTTCCAGGCTCTGGGATTTGTGGCACCCAAGGTTTTCTTAGTTATCCTAGAGGTTTCCTTCAGTTATCCCTAAATTCTTAAAAATATGCCTATTTTTAAGACATAAGGATAAATACATACCTTATGACACTCGGAAGCAGGAATTTGGCGTTGAGAAACCAACAGGCAGCCGCTGGGTGTAGAACACTGTTCTCAACCATAGGAGCTTAACAAAATCACTCGTTGAACTGAAAACAAAAATCAGTTGTCTGGTCGGCCCTTCCCTACCTGAAAACATTACTTTAGAGAAATTCCAAGGGTCGGAAGCCACTCTTTCTTGGGGAAGAGAAGACAATTTACCAGTGTATCCTGGAATGTGTTCTTTCCTTCCTCCATCCCTCCTTTCAACCTGGCATTTGCTTGAATGGAAACATAACCTAATGGGATGAAAGGCAGAGAATTAAAAAAAAAAATCACAGAGTATCAGTGGATGAAAACAATAACGCTATCTCAAATGCTGTTTGGCCATAGACAAATAGACAAGATTTAAATAATTGTAATGGCACCCATCTCCAGGCACCGTTCTGTTTCCCTGCATTAGCACTTACCACGCTCTATTGTAATTGCGCTTCCGTCTTCAGTTACTGGTCCAAAGCTCCAAGCTGGCGGAATCGTGTTTGTGTTCTCGGTGCCCACGCGTGTGTGGCATCTTGGAACACTTTTGCTGATCCTCCCAGCACCTCCACAAAAGATAGCTTTCTGTCATTTTCATTTTACAAGTGAGTAAATTTAAGCTCAGAAAGGTGAAGTACGTTCCCAAAGTTGCTGAACCAGGATTCAAACCTTTGGTTTTTCCATTGTATTGTGCTGTAAGCACTCCATCCCCATTTGCCCCCTGGACTGTGGGCTTAGCCAGACGCAGGGCCCGCCTTTGTCTTCTCAAAAGTTGGCCTGGCAGTCACGTTGGCTCATGCCTGTAATCCCAGCACTTTGGGAGGCCGAGCAGGGTGGTTCACTTGAGGCCAGAAGTTTGAGACCTGCCTGGCCAACATGGGGAAACCCTGTCTCTACTAAAAATACAAAAATTAGCCAGGCATGGTGGTGCATGCCTGTAATCCCAGCTGCTCGGGAGGCTGAGGCAGGAGAATCACTTGAACCTGGGAGTCGGAGGTTGCAGTGAGCCAAGATTGCGTCACTGCACTCCAGCCTGGGTGACAGAGCAAGATTCTGTCTCATAAAATAAAAAATTTAAAAACTCACTATTCATATTATAGACATTTCTCCAAGTGACAGCAGATTCTCAGAGGGCAGATGGGGAAGGAGACAGAAAACTGAAACCTTTCCAGTTCTGAAGGTTGGCCAGGGATGTGGCTTGGGCAAAAGATAGTTTAGGAATCCCAGTCAATATCAGACCTGAGGGTCAGGCCATCACCTTTTGCATCTTTTCTTCTAAAGGGAATTAAGATGATAATCGTTCCTATCCTGGGGACCTTGCACTCCAGGTTAGAAGCAATTCCAACAGAGAGATTGGGGATAGAAGGTGAAAGCTGGAACGAAGTCAACATTTGCACTGCTCACAGACAAGAGGATTAGAACACCTGGGGGAGGTGAATGAAGGAGTTGTTTCAGTCTCCTCTCAGGGATGGCCTTGCCTCTCCCTTTGACTAGGAACAGCTTCTAGGAGCAGCCTATGTGTCTGGGACTGGCTGCTGCGGGGACAACCAGATACTTCCTTTCCTTTCTTACCATGCTCCTGTCAAGGCCAGCTACACCACCAGGCTTTTCTTTCTGCTGTCCCTAAAGCTGCTCTACTTGAAATCCTCCTGACCCCTTTTCCTGGATGGAGCTTGAGCGTTTAGTGCTTGAAGTTTTAGGGTTTACTTTTGTTTGTTTGGCGTCGTTTTCTTTGATTGGTACCAGGATGAACCAGAGTCAGCCTCTGTCTCTGCTGGCCACCTCACACGGTCCTTCCTGTGAGAAAAGAGGAAGGGAGAAGCGAGAGCAGGGTCCTGAGCACCATGCCTGTCCTTGTCTGTTCTGCAGAGCTCCGCTCTCTATTCGTCCCAAGCCAAAAGACGCTCTGAAGCATTCTTTGTGGGAAGCAAACTCCTCACTTGGGTTTTTTGGATCCTAAAGACTTACGGCCATTCAGCCACACTTCTTCAGCCTACACTGGCAAATGCAGTGTACCAAACTCTTTTTTTTTTTTGAGACAGAGTCTTGCTCTGTCACCAGGCTCCAGGCTGGAGTGCAGTGACGCAATCTCGGCTCACTGCAACCTCTGCCTCCCGGGTTCAAGCAGTTCTTCTGTGAGTAGCTGGGACTACAGGTGCACGCCACCATGCCCAGCTAATTTCTGTATTTTTTTAGTAGAGATGGGATTTCACCATGTTGGCCAGGATGGTCTTGATCTCTTGACCTCGTGATCCGCCCGTCTTGGCCTCCCAAAGTGTTGAGATTACAGGCGTGAGCCACGGCGCCCCGGCCGGTACCAAACTCTTAACACCTTAAGTTTTGAATCTGAAATTTGGAAAGAGTAGGAATCTGATTTATTTTTGAGGCACCCAGAAAGCTCAGGTTTTATGCTGCAGATTTGATAGCCAGGTAAGAAATTGTATAAGGTCTTTATTAGACATCTGTTTTTGTAAATACCTAAGCAGGTGAATTTTCCCCAAATACAGCAGTGATCATGTCCTTGCTTGGCTGGAAAAATCTTCAGTAGTTCCACAACATTGCCTTTTTGGGTTTGTTTTTAAACATTCTATTGAAATATACTGAAAAATGACATATCCTAAGCTGGATGAACTTTCACAGGCTGAAAATACACATGGTTCTATTGTTTTCTTTTCTTTCTTTTTTTTTTTTTTTTTCGAGATGGAGATTCGCTCTTGTTACCCAGGCTGGAGTGCAATGGCGCGATCTCGGCTCACCGCAACCTCCGCCTCCTGGGTTCAGGCAATTCTCCTGCCTCAGCCTCCTGAGTAGCTGGGATTACAGGCACACGCCACTTGCCCAGCTAATTTTTTGTATTTTTAGTAGAGACGGGGTTTCACCATGTTGACAAGGATGGTCTCGATCTCTTGACCTTGTGATCCACCTGCCTTGGCCTCCCAAAGTGCTGGGATCACAGGCGTGAGCCACCGCGCCCAGCCCGGTTCTGTTGTTTTCAGATGACGAACTAGAACCTTACCAGCACCTCATACCCTTTGTGCCCCTCCCAGTCACTCCCCTTAAAATAGTAGCCAGTGTCCTGACCTCTACCAGCACGGATTTATTGTGCGCTTTTGTATTTTATGTGAATGGAATTCTACGATATGTGCTCTTTTGTGCCTGGTTCCTTTCGCTCAGTAGCATCCTGTCGATCCTCCATTCTCACTGCTGTGTAATATTCCATCATGTATTATACCATATTTTGTCTATTTCCATTGTCTTTTGAATTGAGTATAAATGTCTGTCCCCGGCATTCAAGGCCCTCCATAACAGAACCTCTTCTGTTTTCCGCTACTCCCTGCATGCCTGCCTTACTGCAGTCAGACCATTTCTGATCATTCCGCTGACCCCATGGAGCTCAGGCACAAATACCTCTTGAGTGCTCTTCAGACTTGAGATAGAAAGGTGTCTACAACCCACTTCCTACCCTCAAGGAAGTCATAGTCTACAGCATACAAACGGTTTCTCTTTCTGGGCCTTTGCTCTTGCTCTTTCCCTGGATCTGGAATGTTCTTGTCCCTTAACCCTCATCCCACCTACTGAAATCCCATGTGTACTTCAAGGGTCCTCTCAAATGCCAACTGCTCTGTGAGGACTGTTGGGGTTTCCCTCTCCGTAACCTCTCTCCCCGCTCTGATCTCCCAGAGCACTACTTCATACCCCTCCTTAGCACCTGCCAGAGCTTCCTTGGCCACTTGGACATTTGGAAACTAACCTGTTCCTTTTTACTTGCTTATAAGTTCTTTGAGGTAGGGCTGTATTTTATTTTGAAAAAAGCAATCCCTCATATCTAGTGCAATAACATATGCGTAATTTGTGCTCAACAATTATCAAAATGAATTGAAGGAGAAGGGGGACAAAATTATGAAGCTTAGGAGGGCGGGGTTCCTGGGGAGTGGGGAGGCCTTGGCCAAGAGAACATATTGTAGAGAGCACTGACCTTGAAGTCTCAGGACCTGGGGCCTTTTTGTTTTATTTACTAAGTTTATGAACTTGGGCAAATCATTAATCTTTTGAAGGCTTGATTTCTTTGGATGTAAAATGGGGCATAATAATTGCTGTTTCACAGGGTTGTTGTAAAGTGAGGCAATATTTGTGAACATACTTTATGAACCATAAAACTGTGCGATATAAGACATTTTCAACTCTCCAGCGCCATTGGCCCTGCAGCTGTCTCCTCGCTGGACTGAGGGGCCAGCAGCCGTCTGAGGTCCATCTTTTAGCTCTGTTTATTGTATCTCCCTGTGCCCTTGAATTCATGGCTCAGCTTACTCAGGACATCGTGAGGCTGCGTATCTCCCACCACTCACGAGCTCCTCAAGGACTGGGCAGCATGTTCTTAGTCTTTGCTTCTTGCCCCTGGCTAGAGATCTGGTTCGGTGAAAATGGTTGTTGAGGCCAGGTGCCCTGGCCCACTCCTGTAAACACAGCACTTCGGGAGGCTGAGGCAGGAGGATTGCTTGAGCCTGGGAGTTAGAAACCACCTGGGCCACGCGTAGTAAGACCCTAAAAATTAGCCAGCAGGCCGGGCGTGGTGGCTCACGCCTATAATCCCAGCACTTTGGGAGGCCAAGACGGGTGGATCACGAGGTCAAGAGATTGAGACCATCCTGATCAACATGGTGAAACCCCGACAAAAAAAAAAAAAAAAAAAATTAGTCAGCGCAGTGGCACATGCCTGTAGTCCCAGCTACTCGAGAGGCTGGAGATGGGAGGATCTCTTGAGCCAGGGAGGTTGATCCCGCCAGCCACTGTACTCCAGGGTGGGTGACAGCGTGAGATCCTGTCTCAAATAAATAAATAAATAAATGCTGAAAAGGTTGTTGAAGGAATGGCAAGCCCCACTTGGCTGCAGCACAACTCTTTTGTGATGTAAGCAATATCCTAGGGTATTGCCATTTAGGATGCTTTGCTCCTTGCCTTAGATATGGAGTTGGCGGAAAATCACGAATGAAAGGGTCTTTTGTCAGAAACCTGTGGGTTTATTGACTCCCAAGATGGTTGTGTCTCGGTTCGTCTACGTGAAAGCACAGGACCCAAAGCAGTAGCCACAGCCTGCCTTAAAGTCTGCTTTGCCTCCCATCCTATCCCTTCATGTTTTCCAGAGAAATCTTTTTGAAAAGACCAGACAACATCCTACAGTTTGCCGCAGGTGAGTAAGGCAGCATCAGTTTTGGGTATCTGACAAAGCCAGCGCAGGGAGCATTACTGTGAGTTTATACTTGAATACGCCCAGGATTCTCCCTGCAGAGTCTGGGGTACTCCTTCATCTGATGTCCCCCAGGGGAGCTTTTTTTCAGCTTTTTCTTTCCTGTACCATCATTTCCTCAAAATGAGGACAGGTAAGAAGTGAGGCAGAACTTCCTCATAATGAGGATTAAGAATTTTGAGATTCCCAAAGGAACATGATTGGCAGCTTTTCCCTTGGGAATCTTAAAGCTGGGTTCTCAACCCTAGCTGTGCATTAGAATCACCTGGGGAGCTTTTAGAAATACTGATGCTCAGGCCCCACCCCCAGAGAATTTTATTTAATTAGTCTGGGGTGGGGCCTAGCATCCATAGCTTTAAAGACTCCCCCGGTGATTCTAATGGACGGGCTGCCCGAGATGCCTTAAGGTCAATGGTATTTAGAGGGAAAGGGATGGGTTGGATAATTTCTTCAGTCCTGTTAGTCCTGAGAATTGGTTACATCCCAGACCTCAAACCATTGCTAACAGAATCTCAGTACGCCTTTGCTAGCACAGCAGATGCTGCCTCTGATTCACAGTATGCTGGGTGTATAAAAACCCTCATCTGGCGTCATCCTGCGAGAGCCTGGCTCTCCTCTGAGAGGGTATTCTCAGAGAAGGCGTGATAGCTCAGAGACAGGAGCTGGCAAGCTGAGCTGAGACAAGAATAATACTTGGCATTTATTTGGGCCCCAAGATGGGCCTGGAGCAGAAAACCCAGAGAATCCCTGAGCCCTCTGATGGCTCTCTGTGCGTCAGCAGGCGGAGGAGCAAACGGTGCGGCACGGGGTAGGTGGGGGTCGGGGGGTGGGGGCAGCCACAGCCTGGAGGGGCGGCAGCCAGCCTCTGCGAACCCTTCCTGGGAACGTTGGAGCTGGCAGACTCAACTGCTCGGTTGGGGGCAGTGACCGCTCATTTTACCATATTACACCGTAAAGCAGGGCCACCTTAGCAGTCCTGCTAGTACCAAGCCAGGCTAACTTTTTTTGGTGGAGTGAGCTGTCTCCTTCCCGGAGTAAGTCTTTTGCCTTTGGTTATAGATGATGTCTTTTGATTTTTATCCCAGACTACTTCACGGATCCAAGACTTCCCAACAAGATTCACATGCAGCTAATTAAAGACAAGAGAGTGGCTTAATTAGCAAAACCATGATGCTCAGCTGTTGGGAGAGACCAGACAGAAGCCAGCCTCGGGGTGGGTGTTAACCTTACTTACAGAGGCTTCTTTACTCTTGTGAAAATAAGCTCTGGTTTATTGGTCCAGGGTGTGAAATAAGTGGAGAATGTAAAGAGAAGTTTAATGCAAATGTTGAGTTTTCTTGATACTGTTTTGGGGAATTAGGGACTGTGAAGAGAGGCCCAGGGTTGATCTAGCTTGTCAGTAGCAGGAAGCTTCTTAATGTAGTGGAAAGGATTAAGAGAGCGGAAGTGGGAGTAGTTCAGGGGTACAGATGGCCACAGGGAAATGGGGAGGAGACCGTTGGCATCAAGATGACGTTCCTGCCGGCGGCCATGTGACCTTGGTGTGAGAGGGGAGAGGGTTCTATTGCTTCTGGAAGGGGTGGGAGCAGTTTCTCTCCTTGCGTCTTGGATTGGGCACTTTCCCACTCCTGCCTCACCTTTGAGCCAGGCTGTGCCGTTAAGGCCACCACACGTTTTTCGGGCAGAATGATTGCTGAAATGATTTTGAAAGCTGAGATTTAAAAAAAAAATGAAGTGGGAAAAGGACATACTCCTAATTTAGTGGAACCATTTCTGTTTTGCAGGGTCATCTGGAGGCACGAGAGCCCTACTGCTATCGTTGTGGGTTTCCAAGCTGCCTTGGGTTCTGTCTGCTGTCGCAAAAGCTTTTAAAGATATTCATTAAACACAGACCTTCCTGCTCTCTCTGCTTTATTTCACTCAGGAGAAGGAAAACATCCTTCATGGGAGGGCTGCCATGTCCCACTTTGACACGCGAGGCAGCAGGCCTATTTCCACTTTCAGGGCGGCCACGGGCCTCTTGCTGGGTCAGTGGGCTGTCGAGCCCACCCTCTGAGAAGAACACAGCTGACCGCGGGAGCACAGAAAGAAGCGAGTCCACGCTTCAGCTGTGGTTTTGTTTTCTTGTTTATCTTCCTGGGTTACCGTACAGAGTGTAAGGTGATGATTAACTTTGATTTCCATAGAAGCAATTGTAAGAGGAATTGGGCTGGAAGGACATCAAGAGAATGCGACATTAGCCACAGAAAACCCATTCAGGGTCATGAATATTGTGAAATATGTGCCCAGCAGGGGATTTGGGGGTTGTGGGCTTTGTTCTTGAGGATTTTTGGGAACTTGCTGCCCATCCATCTGATTCCAGGTAAGAGGTATGGGAGTGGGCAGATGGCCTCAGGAAGTCCTTTTCAGACCTAGGAGGCGTGGGGGTCTTTCGTGGTTCTGTCCTACCCCTCTGGCTTGCATGATCCGCTGGCTCCACTGTGGAAAGAGTCTCTCACCTGTGCGTTAGTTGTCAACATCACCATAGCAACAGAAGCCCAGACCAAAGCAGGGGTTGTATTTGTATTTCCCTCGTCTCTGTCGCCTTGTTCCCAGCTGCCATCCCCTGCAGTAGTAGAAAGGGCAACAAAACAGGGTGTTTAAAGAACTGTTAAAGCTACACATAATAAGCTATGGAACAGGAACCTGAGGAGTTATTTTAAATGCCTTCAGAATCACACTTTGGGAGCTGTGGCACTGACAATAAGAGGATCTTTCTTTAGAAAATCCAAACGAACCCTTCAGCAAAAAACACATATTTATTAAGGACCTCTGATGTGAAGTGCTGTATTAGACACCGCGAGAACTTTTCCAGGGGGAAGAGACCTGGAACAAGGTGAGGAGAGAGCAAAGCGTTTTCCAAGATGTTGTAGCCCATGATTTAATACTGGGAGAGTATGATGGTTCATTCTTGGGGGCTTTCCTGGTAGAAATAAGAAATACATTTCTTTTAAAATATTTATACTTAAGGTACATTTCAATGCCTTCCTGAGTAAATGAATTTAACACATGTTCATAGGGCATCTGCTTTGCGTGAGATGCTGTGCTATATCCTGGGGCAAGACATAAAGACAGTCCCACCATAGAGTCGTTTATATTCTGAGGAGATGGGCGTCTTTTTCCCCATAACTTTACCTGTCTGAATATCTCACCTATTAGACTGAAAGCTCCATGAGGGCAGGGACCAAACCTGCATGCCTAACTTGTTTACTACTGAATTCCTGACTCCTAGCAGTCTTTGGCAAATAGCAGGCACTCAGCAAGCATTTGCAGTGAGAATGCGTGTCTGCATAACTGAATGAGCAGTCACATTACATCAGTTGCTATAATGGCAATTACATACCTCTGATGGAGATAGAAGAAAAAGCACCGGGTTTGCCTGGGAGAGTGAGGGCGGTCCCATGAGAACTGGCATGTGATGGATTAGAAAGGGTTTGCCAGGCAGACCTGGGAAGAGGGTAGTCGGAGCACCTTGGTGATTCCACTCTGCTGAGCAGGACAGTGGTGGCAGGTCCTCTTTGTCACCTGCTTAACCTTATCCTTTTCTTCTTTGCTAACAGAACTCCAGTTTGCTGTAGGCAGCAGTGGGTTCAGCCCCAGGTAGTGGGTGGAATTTGATCTGGGCCAACTACAACAATGGCTTTCCCTAATTTCCCAGGCTTCCGTGCAGCTAGGGGCAGCCGTTTGTTCATGAGCTAGAGGTAAAAGTGTGCTGGGGGTTCTACAAAAGCCTTTTCTTTTTTTTTTGAGACGGAGTTTCGCTCTCGTTACCCAGGCTGGAGTGCGATGGCGCGATCTCGGCTCACCGCAACCTCCGCCTCCTGGGTTCAGGCAATTCTCCTGCCTCAGCCTCCTGAGTAGCTGGGATTACAGGCACGCACCACCGTGCCCAGCTGATATTTTTTTGTATTTTTAGTAGAGACGGGGTTTCACCATGTTGACCAGGATGGTCTCGATCTCTTGACCTCGTGATCCACCCGCCTCAGCCTCCCAAAGTGCTGGGATTACAGGCGTGAGCCACCGCGCCCGGCCTGCCTTTGCTTTTCTTAACAAAAAAACAGTCGGGGGCAACAGATTGGGTTGGGGTAGGCCTCTTCTTTCTGATTTGGACCCGAATGTGATGTCTCAAACTGTGCAGCCATTTTTTTTTTTTTTTTTTTTTTTTTTTTTTTGAGACAGTGTCACTCTGTCACCCAGGCTGGAATGCAGTGGCGTGATCTTGGCTCACTGCAACCTCGGCCTTCCAGGTTCAAGCCATTCTCCTGCCTCAGCCTCCCAAGCTGGTGAGATTACAGGTGCACACCACCATGCCTAGCTAATTTTTGTATTTTCAGTAGAGATGGAGTTTCACCATGTTGGTTAGGCTGTTCTCAAACTCTTAGCCTCATGTGATCCTGGGATTACAGGCGTTAGCTACTATGCCGGCCCAGAAAACCAAATGTATACTGACTTAAACAAATATAGGGTCATTTTTCTCAGCTAATAAGTTCAGCGGTAGGCAAGAGTCAAAGGTTCAATGATGTTGACAAGTACCCAGACCAGGTTTTTCCCATCCTCACTCTGCCTGTTCCATCATCGGTGCGAGAGGGCTCCTGAACTCTCAGCTGTCCTCTACATTTCAAGCAGGGAGAAGGGCAGAGAGCTGCGCCAACTGATGGTGTCCCTTTGTATCAGCAAAGAAAAGCTTTCTCTGAAGGTCTCCCACCTCTGCCTCACTGGCCAGACCAGGGTCATGCAGCCTATCCCAGGCTTAACAGACACCAGGAACGGGAGGGAAACTCCTGGGTCAGCCCCAAATCAGCATCCGCCCCACCTGCACTCCCTTAACCATCCTCCAGGTAACAGCTATGATAATTCTTTTTTTAAGTTTATTTATTTTTGAGACAGTCTTGTTGTGTCGCTCAGGTTGGAGTGCAGTGTAGCTCACTATAACTTCAAACTTTTGGCGCAAACAGCCCTCTTAGCCTCCCAAGTACTAGGACTCCAGCTGTATGCCATCACACTCAGCTAATTAAAAGAAATTTTTTTGTAGGCCAGGTGCTGTGGCTCGCACCTGTAATCCCCGCACTTTGGGAGGCCAAGGCAGTGGATCACTTGAGGTCAGGAGTTCGAGACCAGCCTGTCCAACATGGTAAAACCTTGTCTCTACTAAAAATACAAAAAAATTTAGCTGGGTGTGGTGGCGCACACTTGCAATCCCAGCTACTCAGGAGGCTGAGGCAGGAGCATCTCTTGAACTTGGGAGGCAGAGGTTTCAGTGAGCCAGGATCGTGCCGCTACACTCCAACCTGGGTGACTCTGTCTCAAAAAAATTTTTTTTGTGGAGATGGGTTGTTCAGATTGCCATGTTGCCCCGGTTGGTCTCAAACTCCTGTGTTCAAATGATCGTTTTGCCTCAGTCTCTCAGAGTGCTGGGATTACAGCATAAGCATCCATGCCTGGTCAAAATGATCTTTCAAGAAACTGAAATCAGAGTATGTGCTCTCCTGCCTAAAACCCATTAGTGGTTTCCCATGAGCTTAGAATCCAGATGGCACTCCAGGGACTACTAAGCGTTCAAGACCCCATCCCCTCTCAGACTGTCTGCTCTTTCCCTCTCACTTCACTGTGTTCCAGCCACACTGATCTTTTTCCTGTTCCTGAAACATGTCAAGGTAGTTCCCATTTTAGGGCCTTTGAACGCTGCCTGAGTTCTCTGCCCGCCCCAGGTGTTCACAGGGCTCGTGATTCACGTTGGAATGCCCTGTGCTGAAAGGAAGAGCAAACTCCACCGTGAGTGGCTTAGACAGACAGGGCTTGCTTCTCTCCCATAGCGAGTCGAGGGGTGGCGGCTGCTGGCCTTGGTTCAAGGCCCGCCTGTCTCTAGTTTCCCTTCCTTCTCTCATGGTCACAGGAGGATCAGGAAGCGACTGTGCCAGTGACATTTTCTTTTCAGGAAAGTGAGAGCTTCCCTTCAACTGCAGTTGACTCATTGGCCAGAACTGTGGGCATGCCCCCTCTTGAAGGGAGGCTGGGAAATGGAGTATTTCAACAGCCTACAGTGCCTTAGACAGCTTCTTGTCACTGCCACCGAGAGTCCTTTCCTAGTAAGCCCACTAAAGTAGCCTTCCCCAGATATTTTTCTTTTTTTTTTTTTGAGACGGAGTTTCGCTCTTGTTACCCAGGCTGGAGTGCAATGGCGCGATCTCGGCTCACCGCAACCTCCGCCTCCTGGGTTCAGGCAATTCTCCTGCCTCAGCCTCCTGAGTAGCTGGGATTACAGGCACGCACCACCATGCCCAGCTAATTTTTTGTAGTTTTATAGAGACGGGGTTTCACCATGTTGACCAGGATGGTCTTGATCTCTTGACCTCGTGATCCACCCGCCTCGGCCTCCCAAAGTGCTGGGATTACAGGCTTGAGCCACCGCGCCCGGCCCCCAGATATTTTTCAATATTTAGCTAAAAAACATTTCTCCCTTGGCCAGGCATGATGACTCATGCCTGTATTCCCAGCACTTTGGGAGGCCAATGTGGGCGGATCATGAGGTCAGGAGATCCAGACCATCCTGGCCAACATGGTGAAACCCTTTCTCTACTAAAAATATAAAACTTGGCCGAGTGTGGCGGCACATGCCTGTAATCCCAGCTACTTGGGAGGCTGAGGCAGGAGAATCACTTGAACCTGGGAGGCGGAGGTTGCAGTGAGCCAAGATTGTGCCACTGCACTCCAGCCTGGGCAACAGAGTGAGACTTGTCTCAAAATTATACATAAATAAAAAATATATATGTTATATATATGTATTTGTATATTATATATATATATAAATATATATATTTATATTTATATAGTTATATATATGTGAGTCATTCTTCTCACATCACTTTGTTTTCTTCATATCCCCTATCACTGTCTGATACTATCTTGCTTGTTATTACTGTCTGTGGCCCCAAGAATGTGTCCTCCAGTGAGGCCTTGTCAGCCCTGTTCTTCACTCTGTGACCAGCACCCACGATAGGGTCTGGCACATGTAGCTGCTCAGTACACATTTGCTGAATGATAAATTGATGGGTAGTTGGGAGACTGAACAGGATGAGGCCTTGATCTATGCAGTGGCACGAAAACAGGAGGTGAATTCTCAACATACTTAGGAAGGGGAATTGGCAGGACTTGTAATTTGAATGGGGTAGAGTTATTACAGAAGTTGTAGATTCTAGAATGACTTCCAGGTTTCTTGCACGGGAAAGGAGAGGAATGCTGGAATCATTCACTAATACAGAGGGGAAGCAGGTAGGGGCAGGGGAAATGGGGAGATGAATTTAGGCCAGAAGGTTTCCACCGAGTTTGCAACTGGGTCATGGTGATGTGAACATGAATAGCTTCAGTGGGGTGGGCAGAAGTTAGATTGCAGTGGACTTGGTGGCAATTGTGAGATGAAGATGTGGAAGTGGACACACCACCCTTGGAGACGGTTTTCTAGGAGCATGGCCAGGAGAGGAAATGGAGAAAGGGCAGCAGTTGCTGGAAGGGGAAGCAGGGTCAAGGGTGGGCTCTTGTAATGGGAGATGCCTGAGTATCCAGTAATTGAATGCTTTCATCTCTTCTGATATATTTTGCTTTTAAGCTAAAGTTAGGAGTGTCTTGGAATTGCTGCTCAGATTGGATCTGATATCCAGAGAGCAGACACGAGCTAATAAAGGGGGCTACAGGCAGGCATGCTTTGCCGCCTAGTGACCTTCAGCAACCCCACTGTGTTGGGGTCCTCATCTTCAGAATGGACGCAGTAGCTCTCCCTAGGCTTGCAGTAATGATTGCTTCAGTGTGGTTGCCTCGCTTTGCCCACAGGGTGGGAAGGAAGGACAGCATCTGGAAAGCAGGCCACGCTCAGTGTAACTGGACTGGCCTCTGCTGCCCTCTCCTGTGCACGGCGGCAGAGTTGACACGCTGTTCGCAGAATGCCTGCTCAAGATCTGAGTGGAGTGTCAGCAGGAGGCAGAGAAAAGGAAAAGAGGCTGGGCTGGGAGTGGGAAAATAGTAACCAACACACAGATTCCTGTAATAGAAAGTTCTTCAGAAGTTACAAAGACCAGGGCTTTAGCCTTGGGCAGTGCTTCTTCAATGAGCACCTTAATGTTTACTTCTTACTTTTTTTTTTTTTTTTGAGACAAAGTCCTCGGGGTGGACTGCAGTGGCGATATCTTGGCCCACTGCAAGGTCTGGCTCCTGGGTTCAAGTGATTCTCATGCCTTAGCCTCCTGAGTAGCTGAAATTACAGGCTATGCCCAGCTAATTTTTGTATTTTTAGTAGAGACAGGGTTTCACCATGTTGGCCAGGCTGGTCTCGAACTCCTGACCTCAAGTGATCACCTGCCTTGGACTTCCAAAGTGCTGGGATTACAGGCGTGAGCCACCATGCCCACTCAATGTTTGCTTCTTTAAGGTGTCTGAAGAGAAACCTTGCAAATTGATTATTCATTCACTTATTCACTCATAACAAATATAGGGCACATTATGTACTCAAGATGCAAAGTTTTGGGAATAAAACACACTCCTCAAGGAACTCAGGATCTCGTGAGTGAAGACAGATGCATAGATACATAGATAATTACAGTACAGTTTCAAAAGTAAAACGTATGATGTGCAGTGTATTCTTGGTTACACGTATTCAGTAGTTAATATGTTTTGGATCTGTGTCCCTGCTCAAATATCATGTCAGATTGTAATTCCCAGTGTTGGAGGTGGGACCTGCTGGGAGGTGATTGGATCATGGGGTGGTTTCTCATGAATGGTTTAGCACCATCCCCTTGGTGCTGTTTTCGTGATAGTGAGTTCTCTTGAGATCTGGTTGTTTAAAAGTGTGTAGCACCTCCCCCTCTGCCTTGGTCCTGCTCCTGGTATGTAAGATATTCACTCCATCTTTACCTTCTGCCATGATTAGAAGCTTCCTGAGGCCTCCCCAGAAGCAGATGCTGCCATGCTTCCTGTACGGCCTATGGAACCATGAGCCAATTTTTCTTTATCAATTTCCTGCTCTCAGGTATGTTTTTATAGCACTGTGAGAACAGACTAATATACAAAATTGATGCTGAGGAGTAGGAGTATCATCTTTATTTCTATAGAGATACCTGAAGATGTGGAAGCAGCTTTGGAATTGGGTAACTGGCAGAGGTTGGGAGAGTGTGGTGTGGACTCAGAAGAAGACAGGAAGATGAAGGAAAGTTTGGAACTTCTAGAGACTTGTTAAATTGTTGGGATGAAAATGCTGATAGTGATACGGGCAATAAAGTTTAGGCTGCTGAGGTGTCAGATGGAGATGAGGAACTGATTGGGAACTGAAGCAAAGGTCACAGCCCTTTGTTTTATGTTAGCAAAGAACCTGCTAACATTGTGCTCCTGCCCTAGGGATCTGTGGAACTTCTAACTTGAGAGTGATGATTCAGGGTATCTGGTGGAAGAAATTTCTAAGCAGCAAAGCATTCGAGATGTGGACTGGCTGTTTGTGACAACCTATCCCATATGCATGAGCAAAGAAATGATGTAAAACTGGAACTTATATTTAAAGGGGAAGCAAAGCATAAAAGTTTTTTGAAAAATTTGCAGCCCAGCCATGTGGTAGGAAAAAAAAAAAGCCGATTTTCAGGGGAAAAATTCCAAGCAGGCCATATAAATTTGCATAAGTAAAAAAGAACCAAGTGCTAATATCCAAGACAGTGGAGAAAATGGTTTCATGTACCAGGCCCAGGGCCTTGCTGTGCTGCGCACCTCAGGACACGACTCCTCACATCCTGGCCATTCCAGTTCCAGCCATCGCTCAACGGGGCCAAGGTACTGCTTGGGCCACTGCTTCAGAGCGTGCAAAGCCTGGGCCTTGGTGGTTTTCACATAATGTTAAGCCTGTGGGTGCACAGAGTATAAAAATTAAGGCTCTCAAGCCTATGCCAGATTTCAGAGTATGTATGGAAATGTGTGGATGTCCAGGCAGAAGCCTGCTGTAAGATGCTGTGGTGAGCTGAGATCACAATATGGTACTCCAGGCTGGACAACAAGAGTGAAACTCCATCTCAAAAAAAAAAAAAAAAGGTAGTAGCTGGGCGCGGTGGCTCAAGCCTGTAATCCCCCCAGCACTTTGGGAGGCCGAGGTGGGTGGATCACGAGGTCAAGAGATCGAGACCATCCTTGTCAACATGGTGAAACCCCGTCTCTACTAAAA